TCCAAGCTAGTTTTGGTTCCTGACTGAGAGAAACTGAAGCTGTAGGCAACTCTTTTGAGCCTTTCGGTACAAAAATAGATTTTAAATGAATACCAATAGTTAAATCAGCATAGCCTCAAACAGCAAGCGCCCGACTGACAGCCCTTCTGCCTTTGTGAGTTCTCTCAACAGAATCGTCTGTGCAGAAATCCTGTGCAACGCCAGGATCCTTCTGTGCGCTAGGAACGCGGTTTCCAGATTAGTTTGGCAAAGACCAGTGTGCAAATATAAATCTGTAAGCATTTAAGCCTAGCCCATCTTGATTCTTAGGTGGTTACTTGTCCGTGTGCTGGCCAGATCTCTTTGGCTAAGGGTTCTCTGTCTCAGTATAATGTGCCACAGCTCATTCACTGCAATTCTTGACCTCCAATTATTCTTACATTGAGTTTCATTAGAAGATTGGCATGAGACCACTCCAACCCCAAGAGGGAACAGGTCTAGATGAGGGAAGACAATAATATGAGTATGGTGCGTTTCTGTCTCAGGTTTCCAGATTTAATAGACAGACTGACTTCAGACTGAAGCAGAAAATGACTGAAGAGAAATGTTTAGCTGGAAAGTGGTGCCTTCAGCTGTACTCGTGACATTATCGAATGAATGACCATGTGCTGAAGTGTAGAAACTTCTCTGCGTGGTGGAAGTACAGGCAAAGACCCGAAAGCCACTGTGTGCTGTATTGAAGTGACTGGGAATTGTCCACGCAGCTCCCCTGTGCTGTGGCCATCCACTTCTGTGCTTTTTCTTCAGATGTGCCAGAGACAAACCTGTGCCATGAAGTCAGAGAACACCATATCTTGGTCTCTTCAGGTTTCGTGTTTGTGAGCGGTAGTACGAGCAGTTGAGTTAAAGATTCTCTTAAATGCCCGTAGATACTTTTCAGTAGAGTTGTATTTGGGTTGTATTAAGAGTACAAAGCTGTTTATTATTAAACCTCACCAAAATATTTTTTTTCTTTGTTGTTTGATAGCACACTTAAAAGAGAGGCTGGATGAGTATATCAAGCAGTGGAATGGCCTTGTAAAGGTATTTCGAAATGAGAGGAGGGAAGGTTTAATCCAAGCTAGGAGCATTGGAGCCCAGAAGGCTAAACTTGGACAGGTAGGAGCCAGTTCACACACAAGTCTGTCTGTTTTTTCTTTTCTGGGGGAGAGGTGGTGGTGGTTCTGTGTTCAAACAGACGTATAGAAACATAGCATTGTAATATTGATATTGTTTTAAAAAGAGATTAATTTTACTAATTTAAGCTTTATTTTTTTGTTTATAATATGAAAGTATTTCAGTGTAAATGAGCTTAACTAAATCATTGTGACTTCATAAATTACTTTACTTTTTTTTTTTTTTTTTTCTTTCAAAGGTTTTGGTTTACCTTGATGCCCATTGTGAGGTGGGAATTAATTGGTATGCACCACTTATAGCTCCTATATCTAAGGACAGGTAATGTTCTCCTCTTATTTCCAGTGTCTGGCCTCTTGGGAAGAAAAAGTCACAGTAACAATCTTGACTTTTAAAAATATAGTCAATATGTTTTATATCTATATCAATATATATCTATATCAAACTCTATCAGTATTTGCTGTATGATGATTTTATTATCTCCCAGCATAAAAGCTATGTAAGGAGGAAGGAAAATAGTCAGGCAAATAAATTTCCAGATAGTTTCTTTTAATAGACATACTGAATATTTTGGCTAGTATAGATTAAATATAAGACAACTCCCATCTTTTTCAACGATCTGAGGGGCTGTTATAAAAATGTTCTGTTCTGGCTGAATAAGGAGCCTGATTAAACAAAATAACTAAACAAAAACGTGACTTTTGATAGAGGAAAAGTAGCAGTAAGTGTTTTGATTTAATCAGGATTTAAAACCCCTGTGATCTCAAGAGTTTTATGACTTTCAGATCTTTGGTCTTGCAATATGGTCTTATTTGTTTTCTCTGAAGCACTTTGGAGTGTTGACTCCAGCGAACCAAGGCCAGGGCTTGAGCCTGTCTCTGCCACCAGCCCAGGCACTTGGTAGGAGTCAGTGGTGGAAAAGCCTGCGCTGGGTGCGTGGGATCTGCGAGAGGTGACAGAGGAGGGAGATTCCCAGGGGCTTCATTTCTTACAGCTTTTGAAATGCTGTTGTTGCTCTGTGCTGCCGCACTCATAGCTTGTGTGGTCAGGGGATATGTGTGTTTAGGAAACTGTGTGCTTGTTTAAACTCTTTAATCCCATAAAATAACTACTTAATCCTAAAAACTATTTGTTAACCTGTCATACTACCAGAACTTTCTTGAAGAGGTGGGTTTTTTGTGTTTTAAAGGCTGTAACTCAGGTTCAAGACTGGTTTTGGGCCAGGATACTAGAGAGAAGATGGAAATGTTTGTGTGCTTCCATCAAGCGTGTGTTACTCTTTTACACTAGAAAGGCTGGTGAGAACCGGCAGCTTTAGAGGCATCCTCCAGCACCACCTGCAGAGGTTGCAGGAGGACCAGTGATGCTGAGGCACACAGTGCCAGAGGGCAGCCCTTAGCAGCTCTCTTCCAAGCCCTGATAGCCTGGGTGCAGCTTGCTGCTGCTTCTGCCTCAAAGAGCCCTGCATTAGTGTTTCTTTTCCCCTTGCTTATTTTTCTATCTCGTAGGATTTGACTATTTAAAAGATGGAAACGCTCCAAGTTTGGTCACCAGGAAACTCATTTGGAAAATTTGGGGAGAATAACAAGATAATGTCTTTTCCTTGGTGAATATTATATGTGGTAGGTTGCAATGAGGAGCTGGTTGCAAATCAAACAGGAAAAATTCTACGGAAGATTGCTGCTAGGGGAGCACTGGTAATGTCTTTTTATCCAGGGAGGTTGGATTTGCATGGCAGTTGAGTAGGATAGAATAGTGAAAATCCCTGTTTACGCTATTAAAAGCTAAGAGCTTATCATACTTGTTGACAGCTAAGATCTGATATGAATAGAAATTAAGGGAGATAATAATACTGTGAGAACCCCAGCCCTCTAAGGGTTCCCCTGTTGCCTGCAGCAGTGCTTTATTAGAAGACTGATGTCAAGAAGTACACATAAAGGAAAAAGTACTGATAAACAAATCGATGTATTAGCATTTCAAACCTAACTTTTCTGCTTTCATAACCTCTTAAAACAACACAAAGAAGGTACTATCTCTTTTTTCTTCTAATGAGGCTTCATTTTTAATGATATATTTGCAAGTGACTTTTCGTAGAAACTGCTCTATAAGCTTAATAATTAATGGTGTAAATTTCAGATTAGACAGATTACTCTTCTGAAATTGTATTTTGCTCTTTCTTTCCCTTCTATAAATGTTTCAGAACTACATGTACTGTACCTCTAATAGATTACATAGATGGGAATGATTATTCCATTGAGCCACAACAAGGTGGGGATGAAGATGGTTTTGCCAGAGGGGCCTGGGACTGGAGTTTGCTATGGAAACGAATTCCGTTAAGCCACAAGGAAAAGTCCAAACGAAAACATAAAACTGAGCCTTATCGGTAAAGAGAGCTGTTTACATACTGTGAATCATAACGAATAATTGTCTAAACCCTTTCGTTTTTCCCTCCCCCCCCCTCTTTCCCATGATCTACGGTCGGTGCTCGTGTGCCACGCGGGTACTTGCGCACAACCGCATCTTCCCCGCCACCATCCGCCGCCCCGCAGAACCACATGCACTGTGCCGCTTATAGATGTCATAGATGGCAACACTTATAAGATTGTGCCGCAAGGGGGTGGTGACGAAGATGGGTTTGCTAGAGGAGCGTGGGATTGGAGTATGCTATGGAAGAGGGTTCCCTTGACCAAGCGAGAGAAGGAAAGCAGAAAGACAAAAACTGAACCGTATCGGTAATCACTAAATCACTTACCCGTTTCTTTGTTTTCTGAACTCAATATTGATCCACTAAAACTTGCATGTACTTCTAGCCTGAAAATCTTCCTATTTCTAACCACACCAGCTATCAGACCTGTTTGCCACAACTGACTATTTGTTCAAAATACCTTTGCTACCTTATGTTGCCTCTCCATTCCTGCTCTTGTGTGGTTAGTAGGGTGCACATTAGAATGACAGGGTTTTATTTGGCAAAAGAAAATATTGTATGGCTTTGTTTCCAGGAAAAACTTTATTTAGGTATGATATTTTTTTAAAAGTTGTGTTGGAAACAACAGAGCTTATTTAACTACTTCATTTGAAATAACAAGCATGCTGTGAGTATTTATAATAGCTGGTAATGCATAAAATCTATAGTCTGCTGTCATGGCTTGATGCATGTATACAGCTCGTGGATTATGCATGTGCATCAAAATAATCCCTTTTGTCATATTTCTCCCACGTGCTTCATAATAGATCACGTCTGACAAAGAAGCATACTGTTTAAGAATCTTGGCTAGATATTTTCTAAGGTCTCAGTATGTTTGGGGATTTTAATTTAATACACATAACATTAAAAAACAAACAAGCAAAACAAACAAAAAAATCACCTTATTTTCTGGGAAAACCCCAATAACTTTCACAGAAGTCCTACTTTTTTCTTATGTATGCTTTGGGGAGTGGGAGGGATGTTTCCTTCCCAGCAAACAGAAACTGGCTAGAAACCCTAGCTTAGAAACTAGAGTTTCCGGATGGCTTTTCAAGACTGGGAGACTGTGGTTCTGCTGGTTTTTATTGCTTTCCCCTTCACACTTAACTAATCGTGTTACTACATTTGAAAGCAATCCTCACATCTTCAGAATCTAATGTCTTCTATTGCTTATATATATGATTTAAACATTGTAAGAACTGATGTTGGTAATTCCCTATCCTCACTCATGATTGTTCTCTGCTAAAATGGCAACACATGCAAGGAAGTTATGAAGCTTTGATCTGCTTTGTATACAGTATAAATAATACCATTTTCGGACAAGACTGTCCACATTGGAACTTTAATATTCACTTAGAGGGGGATAAACTATTTCAAACATTGCTGTTGTGTTCTGTTTACTATTCAAACAGGTCTTAAAATCCTTTAAACTGTTCCCAGAAACACAGAACACATGTTCTCAGAATGGTTTAAAAGATTACTTTATTTTTAATAATACTTTCAGAATTACAGTGCTTCTTTTAAAAAGAGACATTGCCTGCATCTGTTTATGTCCAGGCTGTATGCATATTGTTGCAGGAGTACCGAGGCAAGTAACACCAGGTAAAAGTCATACTGAAACCATAGCCAGAATTACTTAGTTTAAAAAGAAAACAAACAAACAAACAAAACCCCTCAACAGCTTAAAGCGCAGAAACAAACTTCTTGTAATGTGCGAACTGCCCCAGGGCTGAATCCTTCTTTCAGTAATATTATGCTTACCTCTTCGTATCCTATAAAATAAACTACTGAGCTTATGCAGATTTTACTGTGTACTTTAACACACTTGACAGCACGTTGGAGTCCAAGACTGAAACGTCAGCATCTGAGACCTCTACACTTGCCAAGTCTTTATGGTGCTGAGGAAAACCAAAAATGCAGGAAAGCCACAGGGCTGTGCTGTGCCACGTGCTTCTCCCTGCTGTGCTCGCTGGCAGCCTACCCTGTGAACCCCTGTGATGCAAAAACAGCGTTGGAGGAAAATACAGTAGGCAGACAAGTAGAAGGGGACATTTAGGAGTCACTCAGCATCTGATCAGGTGATTTGGAGAGCAACTAAACTGATAACCATTATATTTAGCTCAGCTGATAGACCCAGCAGCTCTGTTTTTGTTGTTGCCCTGCCCCTGCTATGCAGAGGAGGGGGTACATGCTAACCTTACGGGTTACTTTTTCTTAAGCAGTTCTCCTCAAATATTTATGTGCAGAAGGGAAATACATAATCATTGTTGTTAAAAGGAGCATCACTAAGGTAAAAATCTAATGGAATGAAGAGAGTGAGGAGTAGAAATGCCCCATCTCAATAATTTGATCATGAAGGAATAGTTCACTTGTGTTTTACTTGGCTCAACAGAGTGATCTGGACTCTTGGATCCTCCTCCTTTCAGTGCTGCAGATCATCTGAAGTCAGAAAAAAATCACTTTTTCCTTACCAGCTATTTTTTTCAAATTGCTAACTTAGTAGGGACTCCAGCTTGTATCCATTGGGGTTTTTATATATTTATTGATCCTCCTGTGAAAAACGCTTGGTATGTGTGCTGGAAATGGCTTAACATATCCTATTCTCTTTTTTAGCATGAGCAAGCTACCAAAGAATTTTGGTTAGAGCCATTCTGCAAAAATGCTCTAATCCAAACCACAATGTCTTTCTGACACATTAGAACTTGCTAATTGAACCTTGGCTTACATGGAGGAATTTACAAAGCCATGTTAAAAAAAAAAACCTCAACCAAAGTGGAAACCTTGTGCAGCTTAATCCAGGTTCTCTTAAAAATTTAACAGAGTATAATGAAAAGTGTCTCAGAGTGGTAGAAGAAGAGCCAGAGGGAGAAGATAGAAAGGTATCATTTAGCTGGGGAAACTCTGTTGATTGTTTAATAGACAGTAAGTTTAAATGTGGCAGCTCCTCAGAACATGAACCTAAGTCTGCTGTGCAGTCAAAATCTCAAGTTATCTCAAAAACTTGAACAACTTTCAAGAGAGAAATGTCTTGTCACACTGATTCTTACCTTTTTTTATTTTAATAGAAGCACACTGGCTGGCTGAAATTATAATTCCAACCAAAATTTTGTATAATTAAATTTTTAAAAATAGTAAAAATAATTTAAAAACCCCCTCTGATTTCACTAGAAATTATACAGATGTCACTTCAGAAAATTAATGGAAGCTGATGACAAAGCTTTATGATTTTTTAGTGTATTGCCATTTATCTAATCTTTATTACATGTTAACAGTGAATTCCTTCCTTAATTGATGCTTTCTCTGAGTGTTATCATATCCTTTTGGCAGAAGGAGTTACACTGTGTCTTCCTCTTTCAGGTCGCCTGCAATGGCTGGTGGATTGTTTGCCATTGAACGTGATTTCTTCTTTGAACTGGGTCTCTATGACCCAGGGCTTCAGATTTGGGGTGGTGAAAATTTCGAAATTTCTTACAAGGTAACACCAAAAATTGAAGACTAATTCATTTTAGTAGACATTCTTTCTGTAAATACTTCTGTTCGGGGTTCAGACAGACCTAGATCTGTTTTGGACCACCTCTGTCTCATGAAGCCCAGAAGGTTTTGTTGTGAGGAGATGTTGTGGCAGAGATGTGTGTCCTCAGTGTTTCCCTGTGGATTTTGAGGCAGAAGTGTTGGCGGGGGGGCCTAGTGCTGAGACCCAAACGCTGAGTAATCTAGATTTTGGTAATGATTTGGGATCACACACACCCCTAAGTATCCAATCTGAAACTGCACTAGCAAATTTGATGAGAAGGAGCTGAGCGCTCTCATGGAGAGCCTAGAAAAATGTTGTTTCTAATGGAAGTGATTATAGAGAACAAGTAGCACTCAGTTTATGTTTCATGCCTGTAAAGTATATAACGATGCAACAAAAAAATCATCTTCCCTGGTTTGCTCCTCCCTGTCATTTTTATGGGTGAAAAATTATCTCATATACTTTTCAAAATATCAAGAACTTCTTTGCAAGAGAAGTCTTCATAATTGAAACGCTAACTGCATAATTCATAATCACTGCAGAAGATTTTATTTTCACTCCTAGGCATATGCATGCTCTTCAGTTAGCAGGAAGCATAAAATGATAATCATTAGCTTCTTGTAGCTTCAGTGTTCATAATGACACAAGTGTCAGACA